AATTATAAAATTAATTTTTTTTAGCTTTTTTTTATTGGTTTTTTAAGTTTTAAGTTGAAGTTCCTAATATACCTTAGATTTAACGAAAAAAGACATTGTTAGTGAAAAAGACCAATGGTACATATTGTTAAGTTGGAGGACTACAGAAACTAAAATGAAAGTTCAGGGACAAAAATTAAACTAGGAGAAAGTTTAGGAACCATTGCTACAATAGTCCTAAATATTTTTTCTAACAATCCTAAAATATATTAAATGTTGTCATGTAAATTGCTTAAATTGAATTAACCTGAAATGGCTCAAGTCAAAACATTTTAAATTAAAGTTTCAAAATATAAATTAAAACATAAACAGAAAAAGAGTGGTGGATTACCCTGGTGAGTAGAGCTTGTTGTAGGCCTATTTAACCAAGCTATGCTAAGGGAATAAAGTGAGCGAGGCCAGCGGCAATGAGAGAGAGAGAGAGAAAGAAGAGAGAGATTTAATTGTGAGGTGTATGTTGTATCACCTCATTGTGCCTTTATTTATAGTAGTAGGATAGGTAAAATCCTTACCCTTTTAGGATTACAACTCTAATAGGAATTAGACTACTAAAAGGAATATAAAAGATATCCCTAGATACACTAGGATTTACACAATCACATTCATATTCCAAATATGACTGCAATACTCCCCCTTGAGTGTGTAAATACTCAACAAACCATTGCATCATATCTTCAGCAGATAAGGTAGAACAATTGATGAAGTCGGCGGCACAATGGGTGAATGCGAATCTCAAATTTAAAGAAAGTATGCATCAGTAGTAAAATTCACAAAACCTTGCTATGATAAAACCCAAGGCATCGAGAAAACCCATAGACTAAGGAGAAAAGTGAGAAGTATGCATAATGTCTAAAACAAACGTCAAACAGGACGAAAGTAGTGAACTTAACGGAGTATGATCATCCCAGGATGGGTGCCTCGTCAAAACCTCGTTAGGTAGGAAAAATATAGTAGAAAAAATGCTCATAATTGTAGGAAAAAGAATACATTAAGAGCAAGTGAGTATGCTTTTGGATACTTCCCCTAAGTTAGACATAACTTCTAAATAAGAGAACTACATATAATTCAACTCAGATACTTTACGCACACCGATTCCTTGGACAAGTTTCTAAAAAGTAGACTTCGACAATGACTTGGTGAAGAGATTGGCCAGGTTAATGTTCTGATGTTGTTGTTGTTGGTGTGAATAAAAGAACTTCAGCGTTATGTGCTTAGTGTGGTTTCCCTGATGTATCTCTTCTTTAACTGCTTGATACATGCTGTATTGTCTTCAAAGATCATTGTAAGAAGGTCAACGATGGAAGTAAGACATAGTCCATTTGAGAACGTGCCCTATGTGGGTCAGACAGATATCCAACATCTGCGTAACCAACAAGGTGGGAATTAATTCGAGAACCCAGAAGGACGGCAACACTCCAAAGATTCACGGGTATAGAACAAACCCAAATCCGTCGTACCCTTGAGGTAGTGGAAAATGTCTTTAACCCCATTCCAGTGTCTGCATATGGGCACATTGTTGTATCTAACCCAAAGATTAACAGCGAAGGAGATGTCGGGTCTAGTGCATTAAGCCAAGTACAATAAAGCCCCAAATGCACTTAGGTATGGAACTTCAGGCTCTAAAATCTCTTCCTCATCCTCCTTTAGACGGAAGGCATCTCGTTTAGAATCTAGAGTCCAACGACTATATTAGTATTCGAAGGCTTCGCTTTATCCTTATTAAAACATCGCAACACCTTTTGGGTGTAGTTCGATTGATGTACTAGGATTCCATCCGAACAATGCTCATTCTCCAGGCCGAGGCAATATCAAGTTTCCTAAGCTCTTTCATCTCAAATTCTGATTTCAATTAAATGACAATTTCCTCAAGCTCTACGAGAGTTCTAATGAGGTTCATGCCATTGACATAAACTGTAATGATTGCAAATCTGGAATGTGACTTCTTGATGAACATGCATAGGCATAATTCATTGTTCACATAACCCTGACTTGTCAAACATTCACTCCGGCGGTTATACCACATCCGCTCGGATTGTTTCAATTTGTAGAGCGATCTCTTCAATCCAATCGAGAGAGTGTTTTGTGATCTAAAACTATTTGGACCAGTCAATGGAAGTCATTCTAGAACTTTCATGTAGATTTTCGTATCTAGATCCCTATAGAGATATGCGATTACCAGGTCCATAAGCTGCATATTTAGTTTTTCAGAAACTACCAAATTGATTAGGTAACGGAACGTTATAACATCCATTACGGTGGAATACGTCTTTGCATAATCAATCCTAAGGCGCTGAGAGAAGTCTTGCGCTACGAGGCGTGCTTTGTATCACACTATTTCATTCTTCTCATTATGCTTCCTCACGAAAACCCACTTGTAGCCAACGAGCTTCACACATGGTGGTGTAGGAACAATAGGTCCAAACACTTTACGTTTCATAAGCAAATCAAGTTTGACCTGGATTGCTTAATTCCAATTTGACCAATCTGTTCTACGTTGGCATTCATCAACGGAATGTGGTTTAATGTCATCGCTAAGCATGATGTCAGTAGCTACGGTGTACGCAAATGCATCGTCGACGATCATCTTATTCCAATTCCAAACTTCATCCAATACTACATAGTGGACCAAAATCTTGCGATTCTCGGAGGTTGGTTTGTCTGGTCTAAGACATCACCGTAATCAAGAATAACCTCACGTGTTGGAACTGATGAGTGATCGATGGTCAAATTCAAACTAGGGTCACTAGTTGGTACTGATTTCCTCTTCTAGGTTTGTGAATCCTTTGAACCAAAGGGTTTTCCATACTTCAGGGTCGGTGAAGATGATTGGCTAGCCGCCAATGTATCGAGCCATGTGGAAGGTGCAGCATTCCAACTTTTGAGGACAGTCCAACCTTCCCAGGCGTGAAGCTGGGTACATCTATCATTGCAGGTGCGTTTGTAGTAGGTATATGTGATTTTGTCACCTTAGCTAGATCATTAAAAATATATGGCATGCTTTGAGCAATGCTCTGAAGATCTATAATTTGTCGCACCTCAATTTTAGACTGGGCAGTGCAGGGATCTAAATGAGACATAATGGGAGCATACCACGATAATTTGCGGTGTTCTCCAGGAATGTTAGCATGTTTATCTCCACCTCACGCTGGGAAGATTGTCTTATCAAAGTGACAACCTGCAAAATGTATGGTAAAGAGATCTCCTGTTAGGGGTTCTAAATAGTGAACAATTGATGGTGAATCATAACCGACATAGATTCTTATTTTTCTCTGATGACCCATTTTGGTACATAGTGGCAGTGTTATTGGCACATAAACTGTGCACCCAAACACACGTAAATGTGAGACGTCAGACTCGTATGGTGAATGAGGTTGGGTAGCGATGGGCCTTAGGCTGACCAACATAGCTACGTGCAATATTGCATAGCCCTAGGTAGATACTAGTAGTTTGTTTCACATAACCAAAGTCCGAACTATCAATTGAAGGCTCTTTATGAAAGCTTCTGTCAGGCCATTTTGGGTGTGAACATGGGGTACATGATGTTCCACTTCAATCCCTATTGATATGAAATAATCGTCAAAAGTCTGTGACGTAAACTCTCCAGCGTTAGCCTGTCGAATCGACTTGATTAGATAATCAGGGTGATGAACGCTCAGCTTAATAATTTGTGCTAGGAGTTTCGCAAAAGCAGCGTTGTGTGTGGACAATAGGAAAACATATGACCATCGTGTCGATGCATCAACCAACACCATAAAGTATTTAAATGGTCTGCATGTTGGATGGATAGGTCCACAAATATCCCATTGAATCCTCTAAAGAAACATAGAAGGGTTGTGAATGATCTTTTTAATTGAGGGTTGAGTATTCAACATCCCCAAAGAACACGCTTTGCATGGCGGGAATCCAACGTTGGGAGGTAAATGATTCCCATGTGATGATTTGAGGATATGGCTCATCATGTCACGTCCGAGATGTTCCATAAGGCCATGCCAAAGCAGCAAAGTGCTCTGGAACTCAGGCATATGGCCGGCCATATGGTGGGCTTCTATGCCGCAAATGGTTATAATGTATAACCCACTCAGGAGATGTTCCGACTTCTCGTGAATAAGTTTCTGGCCATATTCTTACGAAGTGATACAAAGAATTTCAGAACCATTATCTTCAGTGGTTTCAATATGATATTGACTATCTCGAATATCTCTAAAATTCAGTAACGTTTTTCCAGAACGTGAAGAATAGAGGACATCTTTAATGGTTAAGATGGTACCATTAGACAACATGATACGGGCTTTTCCGTATCCGTCAATTAGGTTGGATGGGCCTGAGAGAGTTTTCAGATGTGCTTTCTTGGGTATAAAGTTAGTAAAATAGTGTCGCTCACGCAATATGGTGTGCGTGGTAGCACTATTAGCCAGACAACTAACTTCTCACTAGACGTACCTAGAAATAAATTGATTGAATTGGTCACATGTATAAATATAATTCCATTCATTCAATTAAGCAATTTGAGAAATAATATCCATAAAATAACAATCCATAATTCAAAACAAACCAAAACTAAACAAATTATTCCAATACTTAGAAAAATTGTCCAAAATTAAACCATAATCTGAAAATTTGGTGAACTTGTGTGCCCTATATTATTGTTGCAGGACAATATTGGTGGCATGGAAGGTTGAATAGGTCTTATCTAGGAGATCTTATTCAGTTAGTTCCACTTTACAGAACTTCAGCGGTGATCAAATTCTACAAACGTCAGAGTTGTTTTCATTCACCGACTTAAAGTCTTGAAAGCTAAGATGCTGCCATTCGTGCCTTACTTCAAGCAACTAGATGTCTTTCTAGTGATCGAAATGGTCAGCAAGAGTGAGTCAGAGGGTGCGTGGGTCCTCCTCAGTGAGGTACTCGGTATGCGGAGGAACATGGATGTGTCTTCGAATGAAGATCATTGCAGTAGCTTTCTAAGCTTCGTCGACAGGTTTGTCATTGATGAGTGCCTTGATGACGGCTTTAATACCCTTTGCAATATGATGAAGCTTCATGTCTTGAATCCACTTCAGGTAGCTTCTTCCAGATACTTCCAAATCGGTGAAATCGAGCTTGTTCAAGTTCGATATGTCCCTATAATGGAGGGTACCTAAAAAACGTGGTTAGTCATATGATAATCCATAGACATACATGGTAGAACATTCAAGTTCTATGTACATGTATTGGTTTAATTTATGCATGAAAGCTACAGGTTCCATGTGGTTTTGAATGAAAACTTCTAGTTTCAAATGAGCTAAATATGAGACTACAAGTTCAATTTAGTTTTATGAATGATTAGTTCATAAAGGAGAGGTTCTTGCAAGAAACACAGAATGCAATATGCTAATTTGAGTGTAGTCGATTTGAGTTTCTTCAGGAACTCAAGTGTGAAAGCTTCGGGACTATGAAAGAATGTCAACAGTTCAAAGTATAAAAATAAATTATTGAATTGATAATGTCCAAAAGTGATCTTCAAGCCAATAATTTTGGATTAATTATCAGATTAATGAACTGCAGGTCATTTTAATTAATTTAATAGATCAGGACCAAACAGGATCGATTGTGGAAGCAAAATAATAATAATAATCGGGTTAAAATTATTTAAAATGCCAAAAATTAGTGTTTGATTTGAAAAACCATAGCCCAATAGCATTTGGGCCTGGGTGCCGTGAGTAGGGTAAAGCCCTAAAGGCATATGGGTCTCAGATTTAGCTACATAGCAGCCTACATGTGGCTGCAAGCCATAAGCTGAGAGACTGGGCAACCCAGCAGCAGTAGTTGCTAGCGTTTTGGGTTGAGGGGTGGACATGGGGTAGGTCCAGCAAAAGCTAGTCGTGTGTTGGTCCATGAAGCCCAGTCGAAGCTAGGTTCAGGTCGGGGCGAGCTAAGCCCAGTAGCCAAAGTTATGGGCAAGCGGGCCGGGGCGCAGGACAAAGCCCATCAGTCTAATGCTACTTAGCAGGTTGGGCCGAGAATATTTGGACAGGTCCAAGGAAGGATGCAGGCTTTCGTTTGGAGGTGGGCTGGGCTTCGGGCCTGAGTTAAGCCAGCCAAGCCAAAGGCCTGGTGTGGCCGTGTGTTTGCAGCAAAGCCCAGAGGGCTATTGCCAAGGTCCAGACATTGGAATGACGTTGTCCTTGTGGCATGCTCGACACAGCTGGGCTACAAGCCAACGAGAATGACGGCGGTGGTGCAGCGGCTATGCCTCACAATTTTTGTTTTTTTTTTTTATTGAATTCTTTAGGGTTTGAAAAGCCTTAACATGCTTCTAATTTATTTATATGCTTTGACTCAAAAATTCCACATAGCAATATAATTGCGCAATGCATGAAACATATATATATATATATATTGACAAATATATGAAACATATACAATATATATTGTAAGAAAAATATAAACATAGAGCGGTTCATGCATTATAGGGAATATTTTTATGCTTCGTGGACGTTTCAAATATCTTCCTTTATTTTAAGCGTACCTAATTGTTAGAAAACAAATAAGAGCCTTTGAATTTTGTAGAAGATAGCCTCCTTTTACGATCCGTCAGTTCCCTAGCTTCTGGCAAGAGGGTGCTGATAACATGTTGTAGGCCTATTTAATTGAGCTATTCTAAGGAATAGATAGAGGGAAGTCCGGCAGCAGTGAGAAAGATTTAATTGTCAGGTGTGTGTTGTATTACCCCATTGTGCCTTTATTTATAGTAGTAGGATAGGTAAAATCCTTACCCTTTTATGATTACAACTCTAATAGGAATTAGACTACTAAAAGGAACATAAAACATATTCCTAGATACACTAGGATTTACACAATCACATTCCTATTCCAAATATGACTGCAACAGAGCTATTTTTTTATGTACTAATTGTTTTTATATTTCTTATTGTGTTCTACAGGAGTCTAGAAATCTATGACATTTTTACTTACAAAAAATAAGAAGTTGAATCATTTTAATTCTTGAGTTTCTTGCATTTACTAAAATATGGGTATGAGAATTAAAATATGGGGGAACTTTTCCCTGCATTTGATTACAAACAATGAATTGGAAAAGTGTAATCTTCCCCTTAAAATTAATCAAATACCTAAAACTCAAGAATCAAATCAACTGCGGGAGACTAGTTAATTTGATTCTCTTTTTCTTACTTTTCCTGCTTCTGAGTTCTAAATTTATATCCTCGTACGAATTGGTTATTAATGACAGAGGATTGAAGACCCGAACTCGTTAATTCATTGGTTTGGCTTTACAGGAAATCTGATGAAGGATATGTACTAAGCTCCATTTTGCTAGTCTTAATATAGCTTTCTGCGGTCATCAGTGTAACTTTAGAATTCACTCCCCTGACGGTTTTGTTTTGAGCATCTGCCCACACTTGCATGGAATAGGACAGTACCTTTGATTACCAATTATAAATTTGCATAAAAGAAAAACACTACCAATTATACATCAAACAAATCGCCTTTTAACGTTGTTTGTTAATAAATCCAACCCCAACAAAATTATTTTGACTCACTAAACAAATCGCTTAGTAATATTTTTTATTAACTACATATTGGTATACAAAAATATGGGTCAGCTACTGGTGTGATAGTGTGAGAGATTTCCTATTGGTTATACTATGACCAATACTAATCCTTATATAAATAAAATTTTTGCTCCTCTACTTAATAAAACATAGATTAATTGTTAAACCCGGACTCTTTTTATAAGATTAAACCAGGATATTAAATTCAAAGGAGTATCCCTTTTCCAAGAACATTCCATTAAGCTGCCAAACAAAATCAACTCTCCTTTTTTTTTTTTTTTTAAAAGGGGAATAAATTATAAAGAAGGTCCTTTATGGATCTTTAAACTTACATATCAAAGTAAATCCTACGCGTAACTATTTTAGAAAAATTAACTAAGTCTCTTCTGTCATATTGGTTTTTATGTAAGTATGCTTGAATTGTATATCGAGAAGTTGTCTTGAAAAATGTTTTATGTCTTGTATAAGAAAATGGATTCACCATGGAATTTGTAACTATTTTTGCAAAATTTGGATTAAGAATCTATGATCTTAAAGTCTCCTCCCACCACAACTTGTTTGCCTAAAACATTTGAAAATCCATAGAAATGAACCTGCAAGATTAGTTTGTCCAAAACAATTTCTAAACCAAAAATTTGCAGCAGCCTGACCATTAGCTTGAACTGATCCATTGAAGTTAATTTCATAGCTTCCGGCTAACAACATGTTTTGAGTTTCCCCATAATCAATAACTTTCAATATCTGCATAAGAAAACCCAACTTTCGCATGAATTTGAGACATAACCTACATTCCTAACAGCACGAGAAGGATTGCTATTTTTGTATAGAGTCTCATTGAAGTTTACTACCTTTAAAATAACAAAATTTCAACTGCTTTACAAGAAAAAGAAAAAAATATTAATCCGAAATTTTTTTATCTTCATCCTGTTAAAGATGGTAAGGGTCAAAGACAATAAACTTGTATTGACCATAGCAAGGGCCAAGCCAATGAACTTGGATTGCACAACTGATTCAACCAAGTTCTAGAATGAAAAACTTTTTATTGTAATTATTAATTTTCCATTCGTAAAAATTCTAGCATAGACACATGTATGTAACATCCCACATCGTTTAGGGGAGTAAATCTTATAAGCCTTATATGTATATTCTCATCTCTACCTAGCATGAGGCTTTTTGGGAGCTCACTGGCTTTGGGTTCCATTGGAACTTCAAAGTTAAGCGAGTTCGCATGAGAGCAATCCCAGGATGGGTGACCCACTGGGAAGTTGTCGTGTGAGTTATTAGAAACAAAACGGTGAGGGCATGATCGGAGCCCAAAGCGAACAACATCGTGCTACGGTGGAGTCAAGCCCGGGATGTGATGGGGGCCCGGGCCGGGATGTGACATGTATCTATTGTACTATATAAATGTTTTTTTTTTTTTTTGATCCAAAGTACCATATAAATGTTTTGTACCTAGTAATTTGTGAATCAAGAAAACACGATTCACCCAAATCCTTTTACATGGTACTAGAGAAACTCTCCTGCTGACCTACACAAAACCTAAAAAGTATCCAATCTCAGCCACCACCATTAGTGAAGAAACCAACACCAAGGGTGGAACACCAAGAAAGCCGTACAATCGTGATGTGAAGTGCGAAACATGCAACAAAGTCAGATCTAGCGGAATACAATATGGAAAGAAAGCTCCAAAGGAAATGATGTGACAAGCTTTTCGTACAAATATCATTTCCACTCACTTCGGATCAATGCAAGCAAATCATTGCTATGCTGAATAAGAGCAAACTCAAAGCTCGCAGCGTTAGTAACAACTTGAAATTGGTGCAAACCGGAATATTTTGTATATAAAAATGATAATGTGCTGGACTGATTAGTCAAACATGTTAATCAACTAAGATAGAATTGTTAGTTGATAAATCAAAGATTTAATAACCAATTTCAAATACTAAAAGTTATCCTAGTTAGTGAGATCTCAGTTCATTCCAAGTTATTAATGTGTCAAGTGAACAAGATTGTGAGCACATACTAATTAAATACTCAAGTGATACATGTAGCATGTAGTTATGTGACATATGTGGCACATTGTAAATAAATTTGAACACAAGATGTTTTTGGCCGGAAAAACCCACATCTCGATTAAAAAAACCGAGAACTCTCCACTTAGTCCAATCCATTAGTATAGTCAAGGTTCTTACACAGTAACATACAAAGCTCAATTCCTAGACCTAGTCTACAGAGTAGCTTTACCTTTATGCAACCTTACGCCACACAAGATGGATTCCTTCTATCTTCACGAAATGGCAGCTACTCCTGAGTTCTTCACCTTGTGTCACCAAAACCAGCACACGAACTATGCATATGATGACATGGCAATGATATGCAGATCTGGATTCAAATGTCTAGTCCGTTTCTGCAGTCAAACTATTGAAGGAAGAAACTTACGAGAATCCTAAAATGGGTCAGTTTAAAAGATTTGAACTAGAAACACTTGACCACAAATTTAATGCAAAACCAAAGACAATGTAACCTTATTCTTCAATGATTGGGTGTTTAATGCATGATAGAAGGTTTTGCAACTAGGGGTTCATAAATGAGGAGGAGGAAAAATAAAGGGTAAATTACGTTTTACTCCCTTAACTATTGGCTCAATTGCAACCTCATATAACATCTTTAAAACATTTCAATTTCATACATTTAGTTATATCTATTTTCATTTTCATACATCCATTAAAAATTTCTTAAATTAACTGTTAAGTAATGACATGGCAATTGTAAGGTCCACATTTGTGCTGACATGGTTGCCAACTTTATACTATGTGAATAAAAATAAATAAAAAATAGATTATTTAATAAAAAACCAATTTAAATTATAATTAAAAATTAAAAAAAATTGAAAAAGAGGATTTGGGCAAAGCTTGGCTTCTTCCGCCGCCGCCGCCTCCTCCTCGATTAGACTCCATCCCCATCTGCATGTTTGTCTCCAACAAGTCTATCAACAATCTCACAACTTGCTCGTAGCTCGGTCAGTTTCGTCACTCCTGAGTTCAATCTTCACATGACTTAGTAGGGCAAGAAGTAGATTTGGTGGCGGGGCTCCACCCGATTCAACCCCAGCACCTCGATTCCGTCCAACGAGGTGAATGTGGACAACCCCCATGCCTCGATGTTCTTGTGCTAGACCTTTTTGTGGTTCGCGACCGATGAGGTCGCGAAAGACTCGCCAAGACGGTGATTACCAGCGACGCTGAACAAGGAAAGATTGTTGCCAATGCAGGAAGCTATAGGCGCAAGAGGCCTCCGTGGCAGCATCGTTTGTGACAAAAGAAGTCAACGAAGAGGGAGAAGAAACGGGAAGTAATGTGTTGTCGAGAGAGATGGGTGCGGTGTTAGGGACGGCAGAGCTGATGAGGATGTTGTAGATAGGGATGGAGTCGAATCGAGGAGGAAGCAGCGGCAGAAGAAGCTTCCTAAACCAGATAAACACAAAGGAGATGTGATAGAGTCAAGGATGAGATGAGGTTACTGGGCCAAGCTCCCAGATCCCCTTTTCAATTTTTTTTTTAGTTTTTAATTATAATTTAAATTGATTTTATTAAATAATCCTATTTATTAATTTTTATTCACATGGTGCAAAGTTAACAACCATGTCAGCATAAATGTGAACCATATATTTGTCCATGTCATCATTTAACGGTTAACTTAATAGATTTTTTAATGCATGTATGAAACTGAAAAAAAAATATATAACTAAATGTATGAAATTGAAATATTTTAAAGATGTTGTATGAGGTTGCAATTGACTCCATACTTGAGGGAGTAAAATGTAATTTACCCAAAAATAAATGTTTTATCTCTCTCTAACTTCTCTATCTAAACAATATAATTTGAAACCCCAACCAAGAAAAGAAACCCTAGCCAATAATATAAGCAAAAAAGATGTTTCATTTCAACTAGCAAGGACAAGAGACATGTGGCACACTACAAAACAATCTGGGCAGATCTATGGCTACAAGCTGGTAACCAGCAAAAAAGGCGTCAGTCAGCCCATGTGGGCATGTTTTAATTTGCGTGCCCAACTTGTTGAAAATTCGTGTGCAAGCCTGACTAGACAACTAAGCTAGTCATAATGAAGCAGAATGTAGATTTAAAATGCATACATGAACAAACCTTTTGAAGTGAGATGCATCTCATCCTTGTACATTTCTTCACAGTAGACACAACCCATTAACAGAGAACAGCCTAAAGCTACATTGAGCATGTGGTACATTTACAATGTTGACAAGGAAAGCTAAACCAAAATGTCTAGACTTCACCTCTTTGGCTTTCCTTGACAAAATACCCCAAGCCTAAAGCTAATTTCACTCACCAACACTCAAGAAATGAATGAAGGACTGGATCTTGCAAATCAACAAATCTTGACAAGAACAACTGAAATATATAATGGGTGGCCAACTTGCAAGGTAATAAAATACAACTGAAAATTTCTCCCCCCATTTTGTCATGGTAAGATAAATACAAGGTAGAATATCACAATGCAAGAATAACAAAACCACAGTGGATAAAGAATGAGCAATATATCATATGAGCATGTCGAACAAAGTGAAGAAACAAGTAAACACATGTAAGTGATCCAACTCCTCCATAAATTATCCATGCAATGAAAATGAACTCCCTCGAAATTGATGCTTTTCATTTAAACATACTCCCACATAATTCTAAATCATGACTTCATTTATCTAATGAGGGACAGTGACTCAACAGAAAAAATGAGATGTTCGTAATCTCAAAAGCATTTCCAAAGTTAACCAAGCTTTTAATAATTCATTGACTTTAAGAAACAACACTTCCTACATAATATGGACAATGGACAAGATGCGCAAAAGGTAAGGCATAAACCTTGGAAGAAAAGCTAATTTTGGTGAAGAACTTTGAGCGAGGCACTAATTAGAGAAATGCTAAGGTCATTAGAATGAAGGTGAAATTTTACCGAATCACCATTGATATTTCAGATAATTTAATACATCACCTACTGTTTGGGCCCAAAATAATATTATTAGGTCGAGCTTAGGTTTGTGTTTGGTCCAATGCTCTTCCGAAAATATTATAGGCTGGCCAGGTTGTCATAAGCCGCCAATCAGGTCGGCCAAGTTCTATTGCAGGAATGAGTGATTTGGATAAATACGAGGGTTGAATCTTTATATTACCAAGAGTGTTAATGCTAAAGGCACTAGGAGTCAAAGAATGAATCTGGTTCATTATGAAGCGGGTTCAAAGTCCTAATTGAATTAGGACTAGCTGAGTCCTATTTAGATCAGGATAAGGAGTCCAAGTCCAGGTGTGGTTCTAACTCAACTAGGAACAGGTTCACTACTATAAATAGAAGAGGGAGTGCACCATTCAAGCCTATCCAATTTAACACACAAACTGCCCTGCATAAACTCTCACTCTACGCGAAACCTCTCAACAACCTTGAGATTTTTCTTTTCTTTTTCTACCAACACATCTTCAGTTTGGATAAACAGCACTGTTGCTGTAGAATTAGCCGACTGCGGAGCACCTTCAGTTTAGATAAACAGTATTGCGTTGAGGCTGACTGGTTATCTATCCAAGTCTCGGTCGAGAAGGATTTTTGAATGCTTATTGACAGAGGTCATCTCATTAGCCTTCTCGGCGAAGTAAAGTGTTACAGGTTATTACATTCGGCACATTGAAAGCTGAATTTGATATTGAACTTTGTAGAACTAGCAGCCTTGTCTTCAGGCTCTAGAACCCGAAGGCCGAGACGTGTTCCTTCCTCAGCCCAATCACAAGATCAAGAAGTCAGCAGCGCGCCCAACGCCACATCAAAATATTTATTCCTCGGTAGAACTCGACCGACGAGTTGGCATACCCCGCACATAACCAAAGGACGTAGTTAGCTTATTAATTACTCGACTTGTGTGCCACATAGGTTTGGTAGTTTTTAGGGTCAACAGCTACAAAGGGGGATCTTGAAGCACTACCTATGACATTGCATGGAAGGCTAAAATGAAGGGATTTTCTCATTTGATAATATATACTTTGTTTTGAAGACACCCCTTTCATATAACACTCTCCCATTTGAAATTTTGATTTGATTTTAGGGATAGGACAAAAAGAAGAGAATTGACACATGGTCCAAATTATAGAGTAAGTAAAGTCACGACCAATCAATTAGGACCAAAGCAACATTAAATTAAAAAACACCACTAGATTTGGATGATTGGAAAAATGATTTTTTAGAGACCATATGAAGGAATTGAGAGAACCTTTGACATCACAATGAAAAATTATCCAAGGCTAATCCATATGTTACTAACTATGTATGACAAATAAGAGATACATACAGAGAGCAAAATGAGATTATCTGATGAGATAACTGACCACACAAAAACATGCATAGAGACTAAACAAAATATTCAACTCTTGGAAGCAAGGCTGTACAACATATTTTATTCATATCACAAAGACCAATAGACCGTTTAAGATCTTCATACCTTCAATTATCTAGGGCTTTAGTGAAAATGTCAACTAGTTGTTTTTTAGTTGGCACAAAGGTTAAGGTAAGAATTTTACCTTCCATAAGATCTCTAATGAAATGATGCCTTATATCAATATATTTCGTTCTTGAATGATGGACCATGTTCTTGGAAATATCAATAAACAAGAAAAGTGGATTGAGAGATACCATAGTCACTAAGCATTTGCTTCATCCATATCAATTGAGTGTAAGAGCTACCAGCAACAACATATTCAGCCTTAACTGTAGGCAAAGAGACATAGATTTGCTTCTTGCTGTGCCAAGCCATCAGATTGTTTCCAAGATAGAAAGCTCCCCCAAAGGTACTATTTCGATCATCAATACACCCAGCCCAATCGGCATCACTGTATCCAACCAAATTGGTGTTGCTGTCATGCGTATATTGTAGCCCAAAATCAGTAGTTCCATCCACATATTTAATGATCTTCTTAACTGCCAATAGGTGAGACTCCTTAAGACAACTTTGAAACTGAGCACACACCCTAACTGTAAAGGCAATATCTGGTCTACTTGTAGTCAAATAGAGTAGGCTTCTAATCATGCTTTTATACAAGTTTGATCAACATCTTTGCCACTCAAGTCCTTGTGGATTTTGGCACAAGTACTCATTGGTGATCTAGCAACTTTTTATCCTTCAAGACCAAATTTCCTCACTCAATTCTTGGCATATTTGGCTTGAGAGATGAAAATGCTATCTTTTCTTGTTCTTGTAAACCCATTTTGTGCCAATAACATTAGTGTTCGATGGATGATCAACAAGGAACCAGACATCATTCTTATCAAACTGATTCAGCTCTTCCTGCATAGCCAAGATCCATTCTTCATCAGTTAAAACATCTTTAATATTCTTAGGCTCAATCTGGGAGACATAGCAAACATTTGCAACTTCATCAGCTATTTGCCTTTGAGTTCTAATGCTTTTGTCAATTGGACCCACAATTTCTTCATCAGGATGACCTTTGGCCCACTTCGGTTTATCCTTGAATAGGACATGAGAATCTTGATTAGTGCTTAATTCACTCTCATTGTCAGTTTCTGACACCACACTTGACTCAACATAAGTATAACTATTATCCTTAGAGGGAAATAACACATCATCATTTCCAGATGCCAAAGAGGGAGGGACATCAATGTCATTAATCTTGAGATTTATGGACTCTATGATAGTCTTTGTTCTCATATTGTAAACTTTATAAGCCTGGCTTGTGTTTTAGTACCCTAAAAGATTCCTTCATCACTCTTAGTATCAAATTTTACCAGAGGTTCTCGATCATGTAGAATGTAGCAAACACTCCCAAAGACTTTGAAATACTTTACCATTGGCTTCTTACCTCTCTAGAGTCCATAAGGTGTCACATTAGTGCCATGTCTGAGAAACACTCAATTTGATATGTAGCAACGGTGTTCATGGCCTTGACCCAAAAATGTTTTGCCAATATTTGACTCTTAAGTAGTACCCTAGTCATCTCTATCAAAACACAAATTTTCCTTTCCACTACACCATTTTGTTGAGGGGTGATTGGAGTAGAAAATTCATGCTTGATGTTGTTTGAGATTTATGGACTCTATGATAGTCATCCATAATTACCAAGATGTACTTCTTGGCACCAAGAGATAAAGTCTAAATTGGCCTAACAATATCCATATGAATTAATCGAAGTGGCTTGGTTGTTCCAATGTCAGTCACTTTCTTGTGAGCCATCTTAGATTGCTTTCCCAATTGGCATGATCTGCAAACATAGGAGTCAAAAACAGAAAAAAAGTGGCAGCCCCCTTATTATCTCATGTTTGGACAATTTCTTAAGGTCTTTGAAGTTCACATGTCCAAGTCTCTTATGCCAACATTAGTTTCATCAATAGCTTTATTACACTTGGAGTATGCAACAACTTTAGAGACATCAAGATGTAGCAACCGTCTCCAGATCTCGGGAGTACAATCAAATTATTTCCATGTTCATCCATAATCAGGCAATCTCTTTTAGAGAAGCACACTTCATCAGCTACATCATCACACAACTGGCTAATGCTAATGAGATTTGACTTTAACCCGTCAACATAGCGAACATTTTCAAGCTTCGGTAATCCAGGGATCTTGACATCACATTTCTCTGTGATATGAGACTTGTCCCCACTACCAAACACAACACCACCGTAAATAAGAGGAGCAAGAGATGAGAAAGCCTCATTGTCTCCAATCATGTGACAAAAGCACCCACTATCAAGATACCACACATTTGGTTTTGATAACTGATAGAGAATTTAGAACAACAAGGCACCTGTTGGAGACTTTCTGAACTCATTTGGAGTAAGGTCTCTTCTTCTCCATACTAGATGACTACACAAGTTGAGCAATTAGGTTGACTTCATTTAGTAGTCGATCCACCTGATTTTTCAAGGTATCATTCTTCCCAGAGTGAAGTTTCCTATACTTAGGACGAATGTGGCCTAATTCACCATAGTGATGACATGTGGGAATAAATCCAGAATTTGAGCTTGGATTGACATTAGGTGCCATAGGATAAGATTCTCTCACAAATCTTGATTTGGTATCCGTTGAGCTTGAGCCATTTTCATGAAGCCAATGCCACTTTTGTCACAATGAGGTTTCCCAAGACTTAGCATCTTGTCAATTTTTTCAGCCCCAATGGTAAGACGAATAACCTTGTCATTTGCCTCATTTAACTCAAGTAGCTATTTCAATTAGCCTTGTGATACATAATGTTATTTGCTTTCAAAAGAAGAAAATTCATAGGTTAAACTCTAGACATTCGATTTGCAATCTGCTTCTACCCTTGTGATCATAACATCAAGCTCTACAAAAGAAGGTAAGAATTCATAGCTCATTTTCAAATTCAAATTTTTTATTAATTGGGGATTTCATGTTAATAAGTTTAAAAATTCATGTTTAGAGTGCTGCATGGTTGAATTGAGAATTTTGGAAGTCTCAAGGCTGGTCAAAGAGCAATATTGAAGAATACAGAGGCAAAATTTTAGTTGATTTTGAGTTATGGAATTCAATTGTGCATTGGTTGTTAGATGGCATTTGGTATATGGCGAATGCCATGAATCGATTTCATGGAAAAGGCTAATTAAGCTGGGACTCAATATGAATAAATATTAGATTTGGTTATTTTGGGGCATACATCCACTGTGTTAGACGGAATTGTGAAGTTTTAGTATGTGTTGGTGCATGTGAAGTATGTAATGATATGTTTTTTTTTTTTTTATTTCCAGATTAGGCACTCCCTGTGGCTTAAGAGAGTTCAAATTATAAGAGTGAACACTTGTGGAAAAAGTTGGTAACTGAAGCTTGGAATACTAGGTAGGGGGAACTCATACCCTGATTAGTGGTTTTCGGTATGTATTATGTATGTAAATTTGATGTGTGCAAACTATGCATTGGATTTTTGGTTGTTAGAATTGCATGTTAGGAAAAAGATTTTTGATTTTTCTAGCATGTGATTTATGTTATTCTATATTATACTGACGACCTGAAAGTGAAGGGGGATGTGTTACTACCTTGGGCTCCGATCTCCTAAACCTCTGAAGGGTCCTATACAAACAGACTCGTACCATTAACCGTAAGGGGAGGGTACTTGTGTCTGTGTGGTATAGGTTTTAAGTGGACACTCTCACTACCCTATCTTCTGTTGGTATTATTTGAGATTATTTTTTTTAGGTATGGGTAGTTGGTCACGTGTTTAGTTGTCAAGAAAAAAAGATTTTAGGGATCCCACTATAGTTAAACTGTATGAGCATGTAATAAATTTTAGCTTAAGCCAAAGGTTTTTGTTGTGCAAATTGTTTCCTTTATACTTAGTACAAAAGTATATCTAGTTTCAAACCTAGCTAGGGTGCATCCAGAGGGGTGCAAAAGATTGTATGTGATGCTTACCCCCACATTTTCAGGTATGCGAGATTTAATGGAAGAGTTGGACTAAGGTGTGCAGTTGTAGCTTGTCAATCTCAAAGCTTTTGAGTCAAAAAATCAGCTTTTGAAATGTAAATATTGATTTTCTAGTTTCAATGAAAGATGTCTATGTGTAGCCTCTTTTGCTTGTGTATGTATTTATCTAAAACTTATTACTCCCTTGGCTTTTGTAAACTGAACTTTTGGGATTTCTTTTGTAAAAAGATTGCCTATGAAATGGTTTTAATGTTATGGCTTTTGCTTGAACTTTGGTATTTATTTTGTTAATAGTATTAGAGGCCTTGCATATCTTAAAGATACAAGAAAATTGTCATGTTTTGAGACGGAGCATGCAACTCTCATGCAAGATGGTGGAAGTAAATGGACAAACTTTACTTTTAAATATGTACTTTTATCCAGTAAAGTTCGTGATCGACTCAAGGTTGCACAAATGGGCTTGTTCGTGATTGAGCATCAGAAGAGTGGAAAGTTCATAAAGATGGTGGTCTAAGATACAAAGAAAGAACCTAAAGATAAAAGAGTTAGAGAACAAGTACTGAATGAAGCTCACAATACTTGATTTGCGATGCATCCAGGAAGCAATAAGATGTACCGAGATCTAAAGAGAATGTATTAGTGGAAAAGGATGAAGCGAGAGGTAGCCAATTATGCTCAATATGCCAACAAATGAAGATTGAACACCAAAGACCATTTGGTATGCTGCAACAATTAGCTATTCTAGAATGTAGTGGGAGTGCATTACGATGGACTTTATTACTGGTCTACCGAGCTCAAATAAAGGGCATAATGGAGGTTGGGTGATTGTAGACCTAACTTACCAAAAGTGCTCATTTCTTGTCCGTGAAGATGAATTCGCCTATCGACTACTTTGCTAAGCTCTATATTGAGTGGACTATTCGATTGCACGGAATCCCTAAAACAATAGTTTATGACTGAGAATTTCGATTTACTTTAATTTTTAGGAAAAGCTACAAGTGTAATTGGGTACTAAACTCAATTTGAGCACGGCATATCATTCACAAACTGATGGACAATCAGAAAGGGTCATCCAAATATTGGAAGATATGTTGAGAGCTTGTATTTTGGATTTTGGAGGAAAATGGAGTGTACATCTTCCACTTGCTGAATTTGTCTACAATAATAGTTACCAAAGTAGTATTGGTATGGCACCCTATGAGACTTTATATGGGAGACCTTGTCGATCACTGATTTGTTGGGTCGTGACAGCGTCGTGAATCTTAAAAACACATGAGAGTTGCATGCTCCGTCTCAGAACACGACAATTCTCTTGTATCTTTAAGATACGTAAGGCCATTAATATTATTAATAAAATAAATATCAGAGTTCAAGAAAAAGACATAACATTCAATCCATCTCATAAGCAACCTTTTTACAAAAGAAATCCCAAAAGTTCAATTTACAAAAGCCAAGGGAGTAATAAGTTTTAGATAAATATATGCATAAGCAAAAAAATGCTACACATAGACATCTTTCACTAAAACCAAAAAATCAATATTTACATTTCAAAAGCTAATTTTCTGACTCGAAAGAATTTGAGGTTGACAAGCTACAACCGCACACCTTAGTCCAACTTTTCCATTAAATCTTGCACAGCACATGAAAATGTAGGGGTGAGTATCACATACAATCATTTGCGCCCCCTCAGGAGGCACCCTAG